GGCCCGGTGATGCAGATCTACAAAGAGAAGAGACAGAGAGAGAATCCTCGTCCACCAGCTGATTCACTCTCCAAATGGCTACAACGGTCATAGCTGAGCTGATCTGAGGCCAGGAGCCTCTTCTAGGTCTCCCACATAGGCTCTGGTCCCAAGTCTTTTCGCCTGACAGCTGAAATTGAACTGACCAGAAACTGGGAGCCTGGAGCCTCTTTCTGTTCTCCCATCAAACACTGGGGCATCCCTCTGCTGCTCTCCTAGGCCACAAGCAGGGAGTTAGATTGGAAGTGCAGCAGCGGGGACATGACCTGGCACCCATATAGGATGCCATTGCTGATAAGTAGGGGATTAGTCTATTGAGCTAAAACAATACCCCAAATAGCTAACATTTCTTTCTATAGCTCACTATTAACCTAAGCACTCTATATTGGCTTCTGTGATTCTTGTAAGTCCCCAGTAAGATAGTCTATTGATATCATCGGCTCCATTTTACAGCTGGAGACTCTAAAACATAGGAAGCTTAATAACTGACCCAAGTCAGAGGGAAGGCAGAACCTTGATTTGATTCAGACTTTTTTAAAAAACAGATTTATTTTTATTGTAAAGTTAGATGATCTACAGAGAGAAGCAAAGACAGAGAGAAAGGTCTTCCCTGGTTCACACCCCAAGTGGCTACAATGGCCAGAGCTGAGATGATCTGAAGCCAGGAACCAGAAGCCTCTTTGGGACTCCCATGCAGGTTCAGGGTCCCAAGGCCTTGAACCATCCTTGGCTGCTTTCCCAGGCCATTAGCAGGGAACTGGATGGGAAGCGGAGCAGCCAGGACATGAACCTAGTACCATATGGGGTGCTGGCACTTGCAGGTTGAGGATTATCTAATTGAGCCATTGCACCAGGCCCTAACTTCAGACTCTTAATCACTATAGTACTCTCTTTCCAAAGGTAACTGATTTGGGGCTCAGTGTGATAGCATAATGGTTAAGCTCCTTGCCTTGAACACACTGGGATCCCATACGGGCACTGGTTCTAATCCCGGCAGCTCCACTTCCCACCCGGCTCCCTGCTTGTGGCCTGGGAGAGCACTGGAGGACAGCTCAAAACCTTGGAACTCTGCACCCGTGTGGGAGACCCGGAAAAAAGTTCCTGGCTCCTGGCTTCGGATCGGCGCAGCACTGGTTGTTGAGGCCACTTGGAAATTGAACCATCGGATGGAAGATCTTCCTCTGTCTCTCCTCCTCTCTGTACATCTGCCTTTCTAAAAAATTAAATAAATCTTTAAAGAAAAAAAGGGTAACTGATTTGTCTAGGGCTGCAGTGTGATGCTGGTAAGTGAACTAGGACTACATTGTCTGTTTTTTTTTTTTTTTAATCATTAAAACTTTTTTGCTGCAATGTAAAATACACTAGAAGAACACAGTCCATTCTTCTGCTGCTGGTATCACAGCACCCTAATTAGAGATAGCCATAACCGTTTGTATGCATTTACATACATAAGCATATTAAACAATAAATGCTCACAAATGTGTGTGCACATGTATGTACACTTCCCACATATGTGAAATCACAGTCTATCCTTGTTTGGTAATATTTTGGTAGGTCAAGGAAGTCTTACTATCTGTTTTTATACAAGTCTGGCTCCACTCTTGTAACTTTTTTAAAAAAATAATCTATAAGCCCCTTTTATTTTAAAATATTTATTTATTTGGGGCTGGCGTTATTGTGTAGTGGCTTAAACCATGACAGCAACATCATCCTATACGGGTACCAGTTCGATTCCAGGGTGCTGCATTTCCAATCCAGTTCCCTGCTAGTGTGCCTGTGAAAGCAGCAGAAAATGGCCCAAGTTCCTAAGGCCCTGCACCCACATGGGCAATCAGAAGAAGCTCCTGGATGCTGGCTCCAGCCTGGTGTAGCTCTAGCCCCTGCAGCCATTTGGGAAATGAACCAACAGATGGAAGACCTTTCTCTGTGTGTAAATCTGCCTTTTACATAAATAAAATAAATACTAAAAATTATTTATTCAGGACAGGCACAGTGGCATGGCAGGCTAGCCTTCCATCTGTAGTACCAACATCCCATGTGGATGCTAGTTCATGTCTCAGCTGCTCCACTTCCAATCCAACTCCCTACTTATAACCTGGGAAAGCAGTGGAGTCTGGCCTAGGTCCTTGGTCCCTGCACCTACATCAGGACCCTGAAGAGCTCCTTGCTCCTGGATTTAGACCATCTGTCATTGTGGCTATTTAGGGAGTGAATTGGTGATGGATCTCTCTCTTTCTCTCTCTCTCTTTCTGTATATGTCTGCCTTTTCAATATAAATAAGTAAATATATAAATATATAAATAAATATTTAGTTATTTGGAGACAGAGTTAAAGAGAAAGTGAGAATGAGACAGAATCTTCCACTCCCCAAAACTCCCCAAAAGGCTGAATGGTTGGGGCTGGACTAGGCAGAAGCCAGGAGCCTAGAGCTCTTTCTGGGTCATCTTCAGCTGCTTTTCCAGGATTATTAGCAGTCCTTGAACCAGTGCCCATATGGGATGCCAGTGCCACAGGCAGTAAGTCTACTCATCACACCATAATGCCAGTTCCATTTTAAAAGACAGAGAATAGAGAGGGCAATAGAGAGTTGTGAGGGACTCCCGACAAGAGCACCCACATCCACAGGTTCCCTCCATACCTGCCCACAATCACCAAGGGCTAGGTCTGGCTAAAGCTTGGAGCTGGAGACTTCATCCTGGTTTTCCTTGTGAGTGGCAGGAACCCAGTGGCTCAGTCGTAACTGCTGCCTCCCAGGGTCTACAACAGCAGAAATGCTGGAGCCTGCATGCGGATTGGAACACCTCCCATCTGTGGCATCCTAACTGCTAGGTCACTAGAGAGGATGTCCTATCTGAGATGGGCAGGGAAGCAGGACTTCAGAATTTCTGGAGAAGATTATAAATTGAAAACCTTCTCAGGGTTTTCACACTAGAGCTAAAGCTTGGACACAGTATTTGCAGCACTGTTGACTGAGGTCTTCTGCTTTAACTAGAACTCTCTACACAGAGATTATTGATCCAGGATCTAACCAAGTGAATTCTGGGTTAAGTCGCTTTTCTTGCAACCTCCCTGGTTCTTGGGAGAGAGAAGGCAATTATTTCAAGTCTTCATGCAGTGGTTTCATCCTTGGCAAGAACCCTCCTGGCCGCTTGGAGAGTACTGTGCCCTTAGCCCATTACCCTCCAAGACACTCACCTCCCCTGCGCATCGTTTGATTTCATCCCGCAAATCTGTCCTCAGTCCCACCTCTCATCATCCGTGTTATGCAAATACACGGAGGGGAGGAGGGAAGACCAGAAAAACACATACCTAAGGTTTTCTGTGATTTTCCTACAATGTCATAAATACCGATGGATTGAATTCTTTTTCCTGCGATAGTTACTAGACCTCCAGCTCAAGATTGCTCAGAAAGTGGCGAAGTCAGGATGGAGCTCATTGCTGCACGACTTCCAGCAGGGATAGAATTTTCTGGATTCTCTGCTTAGCTGAGCCTCCCTTGCCCTGCCCTTCCAGGCTGGTCCTCTGCCTCCAGTTTTCGCCTTACTCCCAGGAACTAGGGTGGGTGAAAGAGCATTCCATAAGGATGGTGATCCAGGCTTTTTATCCGGGCTAAGCCTGTGCTTCCAGGCACTCTCTGACACCACCCCTCGCCCTCCCTTCTCCCAGAGGCAGGCACCGCCGCACTGGCCTCGGTGTCCCCAGAATGAACACTAGACGTTGAGGTGTTGTAGTTAGAACGAGACATGACTCTCAGTATCCTATCCTATTAGCTGAGCGATGCGGTTGCATTACAAAGGAGGAAAGCGCCTCCACCCGGCTCGGACTGAACCCGTGGGGGCGATTATTACCTTATCGGAGCTGTCGTCACCGTGGCTGCACGTGTAACGTCCCGCCCCCTCCGCGGCCAGAACCGCTGCAAGGGAGTGGGTAGGTGACGCTGGCGCTGACGGACAGCCGGGGCGAGGGTGCGCAGCGGAGAGCGAGGGTTCCCATCCGTGTCCCCGGCAAAAAGGGCGGGGGGCGCCCTTCCTTCCCCTCCTCTCCTCGGGCCACACAGCACTAGCGCACGGCGCGTCCTCGGGCGCTCCGGGCTTCCCCGCGTCACCCGCAGCCGGGGCGCCCCCCGCGACGCTGCCATTCACTCCTCCCACACGGCAGGCGCAGCGCGGGCCTCTGAGAAGGGGCGGGGAGCGAGGAACTGCGGCGCGCGGCGGGCGCTTTGAGTCCGGGTTTCCGCGCCAGCTGCGGGCCTCGGAACCTGGGAGACTCCGGGGCGCGCCCGTCGGCCGTTTCCAGCCCCCCACCCCACCCCGCCGCAAGGAATATACAAGACTATGAGAGTCGCGGTGGCCCGGAGACCACGCCGCCTGGCATAGAGATAGTTACAAAAGCGTAAAGACACGTGAGACAGAAGTAAAACAGAGACCGTAAAGGTGCGGATACAGACACGCACACAGGCTGACACACAGCTAGGCAGACACCGCACAGATCCCGGTCTAAACCGCAAGGCAATCAGATTTCAGAGCGCTCCAGCCACGCGGGCACCATCCCCCGGCCCGAGCAGCCTGGGCGCGCGTCCCGCGCCTCCGTGCCTTCTCCAGTCGTCGCCCGGTTCCTGACCCTGCCTGCCGCGCTGCTGGCCTGGCCGCAGCCGTCCGCGCCCCTCCCCCGTCCGGTCCCCAGCTGCCCCTCGCACACTTCGGGGTCGGACCCTCCCCCTCACATCCTAGGTACACCGGGATCGCTCCCGCATCCCCCGATCTCGGTCCCGCCCCTCCCGCCAGATCCACGTGCGGACCGTTCCCGCCGCCGAGCGGGACCCTCCCGACGTCGCGCCCCCAGCTCCAGCCTGCAGCCCCTCGGGGCGCGCTGCACCCCGCCCCTCCCCCGGCCGGCCACTGCCGCCCCGCCTCCGCCGCGCCCCGCCCTCCGTGCTCTGCCGCAGTCGGGCGCTCATCGTCATTCCGCTCTCGCCGCCGCCGCCGCCGCCCCCGCCCCCCGCGCGCCGCCCCCGCCCGGTCCCCGCCACCGCCGCCGCCTGCCCAGCGGCCCGGGAGGCGGAGGCGCGGGGGAGGAGGCCCCGCTTGGCTCCGCAGCCCCGGATGCTGCATGACTTCATCCTTCCGCCGGCTCCCCTGCTGAGCTAGGGCCGGTCCGGCCAGCCAGCCCGCCGCCCGCGCCCCGCTGCAGTCCCGCGCCCGCCCCGCGCCCGCCATGTCCGAGATCCTGCCCTACAGCGAAGACAAGATGGGCCGCTTCGGCGCAGACCCCGAGGGCTCCGACCTCTCCTTCAGCTGCCGCCTGCAGGACACCAACTCCTTCTTCGCGGGCAATCAGGCCAAGCGACCCCCCAAGCTGGGCCAAATTGGCCGAGCCAAGCGAGGTACGCGGCCCGGGCCCGGAGTCGCCGCCTGACCCAGAAACCCTCCGCCGGGCATCCCCCGCAGCCTCCACTTCCCCGCCGAGCGACCGCAGCTCGTGCCGCAGACCAGCGCAGCCAGCCAGTCACTCTCCGGCCCGGGTGGGAGGCGGGAGGGGGGTCCCCGCCGCAGTACGGTGTCCCTCTCCTCCCCTCTCCCGGGAACACAGTGCCCCGGATTCGATGCTCTCCACCTCTGGAAGCTGAGCCCAGGGCGCCCTGGCGAGGGGGAGGGGCCGGTCCGGGCATTTGGGGCTTTCTTGCAAGTAGAAGGCGGGGTGGGCCGAACCTTGGAAATCAAAGCTGAGTTGGTGGAAGCTACGGAGAGAGACCTTTGGGCCGAGTGGGGCGTCGCATTGGGGGGAGGGGGAGGGAGGGGCGTGCGATTGCCCTGGTTGTTTGCATAGGGGAGAGGGGGCTCTGTTGCTGCCACGGTCAGAAGAGGGGTTCTGGCCGCCAAGAGTTTTGGGCAGGGGGTAGTGCTAGACTAGCTGGCATTCCGCTTGAGTCCTATTCACTGAGGGGGTTCCATTGAGGGTTGAAGGGGAAGGGATGTTCCTTGAGCGAGAGGTTTCTGATCATCTCTGGTGAAGGCAGAGAGCTGGAGCCTTTGGCAGAGGGGCGTTCCTCCAAGGGATAGGGAAGCAAAGGGCTGAGAGAGCCAGGCTTGGCCGCGGCTGGATCGGCCGGAGAGTTGGGCAGGGGAGGGATCGGATCGGTGGCGCTGGTATTCGAGGGGCACCGCTGGGCTCCGGGCAAGTAGCCCGCGCAGGCTGACGCGCTTTCTCCCTGCGCAGTGGTGATCGAGGATGACCGGATAGACGACGTGCTGAAAGGGATGGGGGAGAAGCCGCCGTCCGGAGTGTAGACGCGCCGGCTCGGGCGGCGGGCTCCGGGCCCAGCCCCGCAGCGGCCAGGAGCGCGGGCCGGCGATGCGGCTGCCGGCGTCCCCCGCCCCGGCCCAGGCGCCCGCGGGCGGGGGCTGCAGGGCCGCGCCGCCGCCGGGTCAGTGTCGCTGCCGCCGCTGCCCGACACTCCGGAGCTGTCCGCTTCAGCACCACGGCGGCAGCGGCGGTGGCGCGGACCGGCCCGGAGCCCACCACCGCGCTCATGCACTTTAGAACCTCGGGCCGCAGCCCTACCCCGCACCGGAACGGACAGAGACCCGCGGCCCCCAGCTCCCGGTCCGCCCCCTCCTGCACGGCTCCCCCGCCCCGCCCCCTCCGGCTAGTACGGTCTGCAGACTGGACGGCTGCCGGTGTCGGACCGCGTGCGTGGCCAGGGATGTTTGGCTGCGTATTTGCATGAGCTTCCCACTCACCTGAGTCCAGCCCTCAGGGCCGCTCCTCACCCCTGCCCCACCCCTGTCTGGCGTGTCCCCAGCCTCAGCCTCTTTCTAAGGGACTTCCTCAGCACATTTGTATTTTTATATCCGACTCTTTGTTTACTGGCTCCACTCATGGTTCGTGCCCCTCCTCAACCCCTTACCCCACCCCCAACCTAGTCTCCACCAAGCTCTTCTGCGCCTGGCAGATAGGACGGGTGTTGAGGCTGGGCTGGGCCAAGCCCCAACATGGTAACCAATCCCATGGCCAGTCTATCCAGGCTGGACCCCAGGAGGCTGTGGGGCAGACCCCTCTCACCAAGGTATCAACCTCCTTAAGGGCCCAGATCTGATTTTACCTTGGATCCCTGCGTCCTGTCCCTGAGAAGCCAGGAGACTGCTCTGCACCTTCGGATGACACCTGTGGCCCTGGCGATGTTCTCAATCCAGGGGTATCCTTTGTAAATGTCCCTCTGTCTTCACTGTACCAGGAGTGTGTGAATAAACACAGACCTCCTTGTGTGTGTTGCCCGCTGCTTCTGTTGGCCGTGGATCCAGGCCAGAATGGGAGGAGAACAGCTATGTGGGAATTTCCAGTGCATGTTGCTGGCCGGCTTGGGTTACCCACCATGCTGGACAGGTCCCTGAGGTTGAAGCTGGAGGCAGGGTCAGAAGCATAAAGCAATCTGGATTCCAAGTCTGCAGCCTCAGGTGGATAAATGCAGGCTGGATGGGGGTCTCTGAAGCTGGCTGGTGTACAGAGAGGTTATGCTGAACTTTATTGAAGGAGATGGAGTCATGGGTGGTTCAGTATGCTGGAGGAGGCAGATGGAGAACCCAGGACAGCTTTGAGGAATCGAACTGAACCTGAGCTGTACTGGGACACATGAGCTTGTTCTTAGACATGAGGCAGCTCAGGGGTGAACAACTCAGATACCACCTCCAGCTGGAGTCAGGAATCTTAACTGCTTGAGAAAGCCAGAGTGGAAAGGCCAGAGGCTGGGAGGACCTTGCTTCTGGCCTCACAGCTGGATGGTGCTGAGGAAGTCCTCGGGATCCGAGTCCTGAAGGAAGCAGGGTGAGGCAGGAGGCCTGGGGGGTGACAGGAGCTGGGCCCCCAGGGCCAGCTGGGCTGCGCTGAGCTCGCCGCCTTTGTGCATGAGGTAGAGATGGAAATGGAAACCACTGCCATAGGTTGCATGCCTCAGGGACCAGCCGTAACGGGCTTGGGCATAGTGTCTGACCCGAAAGTGGGGGGCAGCAGAAGTCATGGAGAGGAACCGGCCCCCAGGGACCAGCACCCGGCTCACCTGCAAAGCAGATGGAGAAGCCGTCAGTGAGGAGTCACGCTCCAGATTTGCAAAGGTCAGTGCTTCCCACGATGGCCTCCCTGGGCTGACTTCGGGCACTCTACATGGCAAGCTCAGCCTTTCCATGGCTAACAGTACTTTCCACTTCTGGCTGCAACAGTGGAGTAAGGCTATCTTCTAGCTAGGTGAGGAGCACAGAGTGCTGTCAGATGCAGGGGATACTGCTTTCCTGTCAGCTGCTCACCTCCCAGTCTGTGTCACCTGTTTAAAACCTGTGCCACCTCATCCCTATGCAACCCAGTGGCCAAACATCAGCCTGGGTGAGGCTGGCTACTTTAAGCTTGCTCTAATTTCAGCATGGCAGCTTCGCCTTTCTCCAAAGGGGGACCCACAACTTACTCTAAAACGTGTCCTCTGACTTCTGAGTTCATCCAACCCCTGAAGTGTCAACCTCTCATCCCCACTTGACCATCTGCCCTTCTCTCTCATTGCCCCCTCACCTCACTCAGCACCTGGTCCACAGTTTGGACACCTTCAGAGGAGATAGTCCAGGGATCCTGTTCTCCAGCCAGCAGGGCATCCAGTGTGCCCTTCTCAAGTACCACATCGAAGGAGGCGCTGGAGAAGCCCAGTGCTCGCACGTCCATGGTCTCCCAGCGCAGACTGGGCACATGGGCATAGCGGGCTTGCATGGCGGCTACCACAACTGATGAGTAGTCGATGCTGGTCACATCAGGGAAGCCTCCAAGGAATAGCTCGTAGCTCAGGGCGCTGTTCCCGCAACCTAGAGTGGGAAGGGATGGGTGGCAAAAAAGCCAGACTGCCTTCAGTCCTCACCTTCCTGATCATGCATTTCTTTTGGCCCCGTTTCCTCTCTGTCCAAACATCCCCCACCCGGACACATAGCCGGACACAAATCTTGGCTACCTCATTCCTAGCTGGGAGGGCTAGGGCAAACTGCTCACATAACCAAGCATATGGGCTCCTTGGTCATGGAATGAAAAATATGCCTAACTCACATGTACAGCATGATTTGCTGCTTTTAAGAAGTAAACATCCCAGGAGTAGCTGAGGGAGCCCTGAACTTAGGAAGCTTCTAGTCGCATAGCCAATTCAAGTCATTCTACTCTTCAATTATTAGTTTGTGCAAACTGAGAATGGGGATAATACTGGAATCCAAGGCTAGGATACTATGTTCAGAATTTTATTTACTTACTGAGTTGAGAAGGGGGTGGGGGAAAAGAGCAGACATTGTGACCTGCTGCTACATTCCCTAAATGTCCTGATGCCAAAGCTGGGAGCTGGGAACAACACAACACAAGGCTCCTGGCCTTCCTGTGCCATCATTCCTGCCTCTCAAGTCCATATTGGCAGGAAGCTGGAAAGAGGAGCTAGAGCCGGGGTCAGGGACTAAGCTCGGGGACTTTGTCGTGGGAGCTGGTGTCCTAACTGCTAAGCTAAATGTTGGCTCCCTAGAAGATCATTACTCTCAAGGTAACATCTAACCTGTTCTAGAACTTCAGAAGACAGCTACCCTAGGAAGGCTTCATGACAGAAATGACTATCCTACTTTATTTTAATATGTTTTAAACTTTTGTTTAAATTTACTTTTCTTTCTTATTTATTTGAAAGAATTACTGAGAAAGAGGAAAAGACAGATCTTCCATTTGCTGGTTCACTCCTCAGATGGTTGCAATAGTTGGGGCTGGGCTAGGTCTGGAACTGCATGTGGGTGGCAGGGGCCCAGACACTTGGGTCATTTTTCACTGCTTTTGCAGGTTGCTGGACAGGAAGTAGAACAGCCAGTACTCCAACTGATGTTCATGTGGGATGCTGGCTTCGCAGGTGACATGGCTTAACCTGTTTCGCCACCACCCAGCAGAGGGGAAACCAGGTAGGGATACAGCCGAGGTGGCCCTGTAGTTCTCCATTCTGGCTCTGCGTAGTTAAGAGTCTCTGTCCTAGAGGAGCTCAGGTTCTGGCGGAAAAAGCCACTGTGGAATCAGGCACTGCACTGGCCGCCTAAGGTGATGAGTATTGTAATGGTACCAGGCTGCAGGGACACAGAGGAGGGCCAGCCAGAAAGTTAAGGGGAGCCAAGAACCAGGCAGGGTCTTGTGCAAACTAACAACACTGTGAGAAGTGTCTGCGCAGTTTCCAGGAAGGCAGGAGTCAGGCTGGACACTAGACGAGGGGGTGTGGGTCTGTGGCCCAGTGGGTATAACTTCCTTAGAAGACGCAGGAGCCTCTGCAGGGCCCTCTAGTGGCCAGTCTCCTCCTGAGAGCACAGCTGGATGACAGCTTTCCACAGCCGCATTTGGGAATCCCCTGCCTTTAATCCCCACTTGCCCCCTAAGAGGATCACAGAATCAGCTGTTGGGATAGCCCTAATCTAGCAGGGCTTGGCACTTGGACAGGGCACTCAGAGGCAACTGGCCAGTTCTCAGTGACCACTTCCTGGGTTTCCTCTTCTCAGGATCCAGAATTGGGAGAGTACTGTCTCATCTGGGAGAACCCAATCGGCTCCACAACAAGCACTGGTAAATACAGCACACAGTGTGTGTGGAGGTTGGGGGAAAGCAGTTACACTGGGTTTCCGGACCCATAATCCCTTCATCCCTACCTACTCAGTGTCATGTGTCTGCTGGGTTGTGTCTACTGTGGACAAACCCACGGCGGTCCCTTCTATTCCTCTTGGTACAGCACAGTATTTTCCCCAAGATGAAGGGAAAATGAAACCTGATCACAGGCCAGGGGTGCTTACAAAGCATTGATTTCTGATTCTGCTGCCTCAGAATGTGATTTGGAGCCAGCAACTAAAATGGGATTTGGGAAAGCCACAGACTGCCAAGGTGGAGCCCCTGGACAACAGAGCCAATAGAATCAATCTAAAACCCCAAGAGCATGTCACATGGGGCCCAGAGCCATGAGAAAGCTAAACCAGCACTGAAGCTGAGAGGGAAGTTGTGAGCCAACATGCTCATCTTTAATAGGAGAAATACCCACCGCAGGCACTGGACAGTAGAAGCTGCTGGTCAGTCCCTTTAGATTTAGGAAATCTAAATTGGAAGTCAGTTTATTAAAAGATTTCTAGGAAGCACAGAATCAGGATGGAGAATGAAAGGATCATGACAGCACAGCTGCGGCAGTCAGCCACACACGTTCACCTGCCCCTGGGGAGCAGGCTTGGGCAGGGGCCTGTGACTTCTGGACAGCCCTGCTAACTGCTTCTCTGACTCCTGTTTCCATGCACAGTCACTAGACACTAGATTGAATGATCACATATGGATGTAGCATACTGTTACTCCCACTCCCATGTTCTAGATGAGAAAATTAAGAGAAGCAGATAAGAGACTTGCCCAAGGTAAGAGGGTCAGTGGTGGAGCAAAAACTGGCACCCAGGCTTGTCTCATTACAGAGCCAGCCCTCCTCTGGTTACTAAGAGGCCCACCCGCCTAGTGCAGTAAGACCACAAACAGGAGGCTGAGTTCCAGCACAGTCATTTCAGCTGTCTTAGAAGCCTTCTTGGTGACGCTGCACCTGTCTGCATGGTGATAAACAGAGACACCTTCACCACTTGCTGCATGATGGCAGTGGACATTGCCCATACCCTAACCAGATCCCTGTTGGAGTCTTTTTGACAATGTTTGCATGTCCTTAGGTTTTGGCACATGTTTGCTTCTAATGAGGCTTTTAGGGTGAAACTAAGTGATCATAACCTTGCTGGCTTCCTCCTCCCATGGCTCTTTCCTGTTCTACCATAATTTCTCCTAGAAGCAGTTCCCTAACTAATGACTTGAACATGAACCTTTTTCTCAGGATTTGCTCCCAGTGAGTGCAAGCTTAAGACGATGACTTCCAGCAGGGCTTGTCACATCCAGCTTCCACCTGTTTTGGTAAAGTGTTGGAACACAACTATTATGCACTGTCTAGAGCTGATTTTTCTCAACACCAGCAGCAGTAGCAGCAACAAAGGGAGTATATCCTGCAGAATATAGAATGTTTTCTATCTGTCCATTTTCAGATCCCTCACCTAGAGTAAGGCTCTTAAAATTTATAATTTTTAAAAAGATTTATTTATTTTACTTTGAAGAATTATACAGAGAGATCTTTCATCCACTGGTTCACTCCTCAATTGGCTGCTGTAGCCAGAGCTGGTCCAAAACTGGGGGCCAGGAGGTTCTTGGCTGGGAACTAGGGTCTCCTATGTAAGTGCAGGGGCCCAAGGATCTGGGCTGTCCACTGCTGCCCTCCCAAGCCATTGGCAGGGAGCTGAATCAGAAATGAAGCAGGTGGGCCCAACACAATGGTTTAGTTGGGTAAATCCTCCCACTGCAAGCACCAGGATCCCATAGGGGCACTGGTTCATGTCCCAGCTGTTCCATTGACCTTCCAGCTTCCTGCTTATGGCCTGGGAAAGCAGTGAAGGATGGTCCAAAGCCTTAGGATTCTGTACACCCCTGTGGGAGACCTGGGAGAAGCTCCTAGCTTTGGATTGGCCCAGCTCTGGCTGTTGTGGCCACTTGGGGAATCAATCAGTGGATGGAAGAACTTTCTCTCATTTCCTCTCTCTGTAAAATCTGCCTCTCAAATAAAGATAATTAAATCTTAAAACAAACAAACCAACAGCTGGGGCTGGTCTTGTGGTGCAGAAGTTCAGGCACCACTGGCTGCTCCATTTCCCATCCAGCCTCCTGCTAGTGTGACTGGGATGATGGTCACCCACAAGGTAGAGTCAGATAGAATTCCTGACTCCTGGCTTCAACCTGGCTCACATCTGGCTACTGCATGAGCAGTGAAGCAGTGAATGGAAGATCTTCTCTCTTACTCTCTCCCTATTACTGTGACTTCTGTTTTTTTTTAAGAACTAGTTTTGGAACTTGTTGAAAACAGGCTCCTGCAGACTGGCACTGTGGCACAACAGGCTAAGCCTCTACCGGCAGTTGCTAGCATCCCATATGGGTGCAAGTTTGAATGCCAGCTTTTTCACTTCCCATCCAACTCCATGGTAATGCACCCAGGAAAGCAGCAGATGATGGCTCAAGTGCTTGTTGCCCTGCACCCACCTGGGAGACCCAGAGGAAACTCCTAGCTCCCAGCTTCAGGTCAGCTCAGGCCTGGCTGCTGCAGCCTTTTTAGAAGTGAACCAGTAGATGGAAGATCTCTTTCTGTGTAACTCTGCCTTTCAAATAAATAAAGAGGAAGGAAGAGAGGGAAAGAGAAAGGAACGAAAAGAAACAGAACAAAAGAGAGAGAGGAAGGAAGGAACAGAACAGAACGAAGGAAAGAAAAAGAAAAGACAAAACAGACTTCTGGTACCCATGTCAGAGCATTGCAGATTTCTTGATGATCTTGACACACATTCAAGTTCGAGGGGCAGACTGAACCAAGACAAGTAGCTGCCTGGAGTCCACGTTCTTAACCCACTAGGATACGCTCCCTTCCCAAACCTAATAATGTCCCATTTCTCAAGCTCAGTCGGGTAAATCTACACATTGCATAGTACACAAACAAATATCTACTGCATCGTCTATATGAAAAGAGGTCTTTCATATATATTACACATTGCACTTAGGCACATAAAGGCTTTTACAAAGAGTGAAATAAAAGCTATAATTGCTAGGCAATCTGTGGTTCAGACTGAGCCAGCACCTGGGGTGGGGGCTGCCGGTCCAGCCCTCCTTCACTTCTTGCACTTGCCCCAGGGGAAGCGCACCCGCGGCAGCCGCACTCGCCCTGCCAAGCGCAGAGGGCGCTGTCCTCACCCTCGCTGGACGCCGGGTGCGAGCGCCAAAGGCAGCCTCGGTCGCACGGTCGCGGGGTGCTGAAGGAAACTCTAGCTGGCCACTGCTTCCAAACCCTATCGGAGGCCCGGGGCTCGCGGAGCCAGTGCGGGCCGAACTGGCCTTGACCTCGCAGTCTCATGGTGATCCAAATAAGGCTTAAAGCTCAGCCTGAGCACACTGACAGACCTAAGTTACACACACAGCTAGCTTAGTGGCTCCAAATAAGCAGCTGGGAGCCCTCAAATGCCCCGGGCTGCCTGCCTTCCGAGGATCCCCGGGACACCCCCTCCCTGACTGTCTCTTTCCCCCTCTACGGAGGACCCCGACAGTGCCATCCATTCCTCCTGCCTGTTCCCCACGGGGGAGTCCTCTAAGTACTGCACAGACCAGCGGACAGCGAGGCCGGCCCGAAGCAGTCAGCTCTTCCTGAGCCTGGCGTCGGGACAACCCACCTAGCACGAGGATACGGTCCTCGGGCCGCAGCTCCGGCTCTAGCAGGGCGCGGAAGGAGGAGAAGTCCCCGAACCACTCGTAGGGGGCAGCGTCGGCCGCGCCTCGGTAGCGCCGGTCCCAGTACTGGACCTCGCAGTAGCCACTGTTGCGCTCGGGTAACTCGGGCTGCTGCTCCGGGGCCCCGGGAGATGCCATGCCGTCCTCCGGCAGGGCTTGGGGAGCCCGCGCGGACCGAGGAAGCCGCAGGTGGACGCGCCGCCAACCCCGCCCCGAGTTTCTCAACACAAACACGTGGAGTTTCCGCCTGCGGCTCGGCGCGCCGCCGACAAGCCTCCGGCCGGGGAAGCCGGCCCGTCAGAGCCGCAGTCCTGCGGCTGGCCGCGCTCCTGGCAGCTGACCCGCTCGGGCTCGTCGCTGGGTCCACTCACGTTTAAAGCGCACCGTTATTGCGTCCTTTCATAGGGAAGTGGGAAGCAGGGGCAGGCTTTCGTTACTGTGTGCTCAGCACACTAGGTTCCTGCTCGTACGGATCGTGTAGTGCATCTTAGCGGGCTGGTGCAGAAGTTAAGTTTTCATTAAGAGTAAATTGGGAATTCTGGTGACTCCAGTCAGTCCCCAGGCGACGTGGCGCCCTGCAGAGGAGGGGCGGAACCTAAGTGTCGAAGGCTCTGCTTTTCCCGAGTGCTGGGTCTACAAAGAGTGACGCACCATCAAGATGGCGGCGGGGCTGCGGAAACGCGGCCGGGCCGGGGCCGCGGCTCAGACGGCGGGGCTGTGCGGGCCATGGCTGCAACGCGTCTGGCAAGAGCGGCGCCTGCTGCTGCGGGAGCCGCGCTACACGCTGCTGGTGGCCGCCTGCCTCTGCCTGGCGGAGGTGGGCATCACCTTCTGGGTCATTCACAGGGTGGCATGTGAGTGCGCCGAAGGGGCGGGAGGGGACTGACGGGGCAGGGGGGCGAGGAGGGGAGAGGAGGCTAGATGGGCAGGAGACCCAGATCCCAGACCCATGCTGGGACCCAGGCCCGGAGGCACCCCAAACCAGACTGCAGGTGTACTCATTCACCAGCTGCAGAGCCTGCTCCCCCGACCTTCCCGAAAACCGGAGGGCAGGACCTCAGGAGATGAACCTGCTAAATCGCAGAAAGCAAAGCAGCGTGAAAATCAAGAGACCTGAGCCCCAGTTAGTGTACTGCTGCTGCCAGTCTCCATCACTACCCCTATCTCAGTGTTTTCAACTCCTCAATTCCAGTCTCAAAAGAAAAAAAAAAAAAATCAGCGTATGTCTTGAATACTAGTATATGCTGAGGTTGTGCTAGGTAGCAGGGCCGGAGTGAATCAGAGATGTGTTTCCAACCTGGGTATGTGGAGCTGACAGTAATACATCCACAGTGTCTTTTGTTCATCTTCACGGTAGTAAAATCAGATGCCATAAGGGCTTGGCCCGGTGCTTCAGCTGCACCTGAGGGGTCGGGGAATGCTTCCTCTAGCCCCCCTGAAAAGCAGCCAGCAGCACAAGGAGAGGGACTCCTGTGCCAGAAACCACCAGTCAGAAAAACAGTCTGGTTCCTTTGAAGAATTGGAAACACTGTTGTAAATCTAGAATGTAGAGATCAAGTGTGGGTAGCAGGGAGAGGTGAACTCATGAAGAATTTGGAAAGCCCTTGTCACAGGCAGAATGAGGATCAGGTACTTGGGACTGGGTGAGTTCCAATCCCAAGGCTACCCTCTGAAGTCACTTTACATAATCAGTTCTTCTAAGAAAAAGTGATTGAGTTGGGTTTTTGTCTTTTAAACCTTGGCATGGGTTAAAAAAAAAAGAATATCCCTAAAGGGTTTTACAACAGATCCAATAAGATCTAGGAAGAGCTATCTGGCACGGGGTGGGAGATGTGTTCCAGTGGGAAGAAAATAGAAATGGAGACCCTCATTAGGGACTGTCATGCTGTGGCCAAAGGCGTCAAACTCAGCGGGTTTGCGTATGTAAAGTGAAGGTGGGTCAGATGGGGGAGAAGCAGGAGGAAGAATAGACACAAGAGAGAAAGCAGCATCAAGGCTGGTTAACAGGTTCCTGACCTAGACAGACAGCAGGCTCTGCTGGAGTGGGAGGGACGATCATGCCTCCCGTCAGAGCTCAGAGTTCACCCACACAGTGTCAGATGGGCAGCCGAGTGTGGGAACCCCTGAGGAGGAGGTGGAATTGTATGGTCATTTGGAGCTCTGGGTGGGTGGATGGCAGACAAGGGTGGGACTTGGAAGTGACCGCTCCTCTTGCCTTCTTACAGACACAGAGATTGACTGGAAGGCCTACATGTCTCAGGTAGAGGGCGTCCTCAATGGCACCTATGACTATACCCAGCTGCAGGGGGACACCGGACCTCTTGTGTGAGTGAGTGGAGTAGAGGGTTCAGGATGGATGGGAGGGGCCGGCCGAGGACCCAGGCTCACGTTCCCTGGTACCTTCCAGGTACCCAGCTGGCTTCGTGTACGTCTTCATGGGGCTGTACTATGCCACTGGCCGGGGCACTGACATCCGCATGGCACAGAACATCTTCGCTGTGCTCTACCTGGTCACCTTGCTGCTGGTCTTCTTGATCTACCACCAGACCTGCAAAGTACATTCATCTTCCCAGTGCTTGTGGGGGTGGGGCCCATCTCAGGAGGCCTGGGGAGTGAAGTCAGCTCAGGCTTGTTGAACTGACATTCCTCACTGTGTCCATCCTGCAGGTACCTCCCTTTGTCTTTTTCTTCATGTGCTGTGCCTCTTACCGTGTCCACTCCATCTTCATGCTGCGTCTCTTCAATGACCCAGTGGCCATGGCATTGCTCTTCCTCAGCATCAACCTCATCCTGGCCCGGCGCTGGGGATGGGGCTGCTGCTTTTTCAGGTCAGTTCTCCTCTTGTCTGGCATCTCCAGTGCTTTCCCCCAGGGTTCTGCAACAAAGGGGCACTGAAGCAGGCAGGTACCGTAATGGGTCACTCATAGCCGCCAAGGCAAGTCCAGGATCTGTAAAGAGTGTCTGCTACCCCTTCCCAGCCTCACTCCCCATTGTTGGAGTTGGTCTTTGCGCATTCTAAATATGTGTCTGGGTATAAAGGTGGTGCCTACCCCTGTCACCAGCTTGCTTCCAGGCTACCTTACCTGAGTAGGCACCCCAACCTGGAGCCTTTTGGCATGGGGAAACCATTGCTGTGGTGATGGTAGCAGGGAGGGGATTTGGGTGGGCCACTTGGTCCTGGAGCTGACCTTTGCCCTTCCTCCCCTGCCAACCCCAGCCTGGCAGTCTCTGTGAAGATGAACATACTGCTCTTCGCCCCGGGGTTACTGTTCCTTCTCCTCACCCAGTTTGGCTTCCGTGGGGCCCTCCCCAAGCTGGGCATCTGTGCTGGCCTTCAGGTACCTCCCCCTGCCCTTTGTCATTGAAGGAGAGGCCACCTGTCTGGCCTCAAAGACACAAGGAGGAACTTGGGATTTGCTTCTGAGCTGGACAGCCGCTGTCCCTGGGCTTCAATCTTCTTGGACTGGAAAACAAGGATGTTGAACTAGATGGCCCATGAGTAACTTGGTGAACTGAAACCTTAAAGCACAGTTATCATCTGCCTCCTTGGCTGCTTGGGCTGCATGTGCTGGTTGGGGGTGGGGATGGGAATGAGAGATCCTCCAAAGCCTCCTTGTGTCCCACTGCTGCACCGTTCAGTAGTTAGTATGGTGTGTGGGGGTGAGGCTTGGAAGCTCTGCTAACTTCAACCCACCCTCAGGTGGTGCTGGGGCTGCCCTTCCTACTGAAGAATCCCCTCGGTTACCTGTCCCGTTCCTTCGACCTGGGCCGCCAGTTTCTCTTCCGTTGGACAGTGAATTGGCGCTTCCTCCCTGAGGCCCTCTTCCTGCATCGGGCCTTCCACCTTGCCCTGTTGGCTGCCCACCTCACCCTGCTTTTGCTGTTTGCTCTCTGCAAATGGCACAGGTGAGAAAGTGGAGAGGGGGTGCCCTGGTCGAGTTGGGAGAAGGCATGAAGGGTCCCAGGCTTAGGGTTGCTTGGTTGGATGTAGAGTGGGGGTGGGTGAGGGTTGGGGTTAAGCTCATGAAGGGTGAACGTAGAGCCTGGCCCACGATGGACTCTGATGCATGCCCTCTGACTTCTCCCCAGGTCAGGGGAGAGCATCCTGTCACTGCTGAAGGATCCCTCTAAAAGGAAGGTTCCGCCCCAACCCCTCTCCCCCAATCATATCCTTTCAATCATTGCAAGGTAAGGCCTGCTGTCTGCAGTTGCAAATGGAGCCTCAGTCATCAGTCCCAGGTGGCTGGCGACCTGGGAGCAGGACGGGGAGCCCACCCACAGGGTTCCTGCTTCATGCCAGTCACCAAGCTAAGCTGAGCATGTCCCGGATGGACATTCTGAACTGTGAGCTGCTGGTGCATGTGTTCACATCATCTGTCTGGCACTGTCCTGAGAGCTGTGTGTGCATCCTGACATCCAGAATCTGCAGGAGATGCTGAGGTGAGATAGCTCTCATCACCTGACCCTTCTTTACACATGGCAAGACTAAAACTTTCAAAAGCTAGGGAACTTAGCAAAGCCACACAGCTAGGAAGGGATTCCGTCATTAGGATCTATGGCCCCAGCTGTTAATGGCTCCAGGTTAGACTAAAGATGCAGAGAGGGGAAGAAACTGGACCAAAAGTGAGAATCTGGGGAAGGCAGAGCTAGGGGTCTTTCAACCCTAAAGGTTTCTGCCCCTCTGTTTTGGGAATCCCAACTCCGCCCCTTTCTGCTCCTGCCCTTGACCATCAAATACAGATCGTTTCTGTCCTCTTCACCTCCAACTTCATTGGCATCTGCTTCAGCCGCTCCCTCCACTACCAGTTCTATGTCTGGTATTTCCACACACTGCCCTACCTCCTGTGGGCTGCGCCTGCACGCTGGCTCACACACCTGCTCAGGTACTGGCTGGGCCAACCTGGGGAGTGGGATGGGTGAGGGAGATCCTGTCACAAGGCTGTGACCGTGGAGGGGCTTAGAGGGACCCACGTTAGGGCACAGGTAGCGGAAGAACAGCAGACCTCGAAACCAGACACAATGCAGAGCCTTTCTCCCCTCCAGGTTGTTGGTGCTGGGGCTCATCGAGCTCTGCTGGAACACATACCCATCCACATCCTGCAGCTCTGCTGCCCTGCACGTGTGCCATGCGGTCATCCTGCTGCAGCTCTGGCTGGGCCCACAGCCCTTTCCCGAGAGCATCCAGCGTGACAAGAAAGCCCACTGAAGCCCACCTACTCCCTTCAGCTCCATTCTCAGGACCCTGGGTGGGGTGGACTCTGTGCCCTGGGGAATAAACCTTGCCAAGTCCACCTCTCTGCAGAGGAAGCTGGTGCCTGGACAAAGCTGTGCATGTGCAGGGCAGATGAAGAACTCACTTCAGAGTCCCCAAGAGGCACTTTATTGCATAGGAAACTGTGACTTTCTCCCTTTACACAGAGCTCAGCCTGGAGCCCAAGGGCATGGTGTGGGAAGAGCAGGATAGAGCTGGAGCAGGCACTTTTTGTGGGGCAAGAAGATTCTGGGTGGTGGAAAGGGAGATGAGAAGCAGTGGGGGACAGGCTGGCGCCAGCCTACTCCTTTCCCGCCTGGGGAGGCCAGCGCTGGGCGGCAGTGTTTTGGGGAGCCAGCCCCAAGGAGCAGGCAGCTATCACACATTGGCAGGGCTGTAACACAACAGGTGGAGCTGCAGGTTCTGGTCCCAGTGGCGCAGCAGCAAGAAGAGCCCCCTAGCGGCGGCTTTAAGCGCTGCCAGATCAAGGCCATCGGGCAGATGCTGGGCCCGCAGCCAGCAATCTGCCTTCGCAGCACTCAGTTCCCACTCCCCGAAAGCGGCAGCACAGCGATGCTCTAGCCACGCAAGCGCCACAGCCGTGGCCCACGTGCGGCCCCTCAAGTCAGCACCACCTGACCCTCTTGCTCCTTCCGAGGTCTCGGTGTCTGAGCCGCGCCCACTGTCCACCTGGCATGGGCCCTCAGAGCCTGAGCTGGGGGACGGGCTGCAGGAGGCTGTTGCACTGTCACCCTGGCCTACACCAGGACCTAGAAGTGCCCAAGGAGATGAGGCTGAGGTGGGGCTGAGGCTGGCACGGTGCGCTGCGAAAGGTGAGGCTCGGCATAGGCGCTCCTGTGAGATGCGTACGGCTGCGCAGAAGGGTGCGTCCAGGCGGAAGGACCCCGGCGCCTCCTGCAGCCGCACCTGAGGAGAGAGGAGGTGGGGGGAGAAGCGAATTGAGACAGACGTCCCGGCTCTGGCAATGCTGCCCTCCACCTCCCGAGTCCTCACCAAGGGCAAGTAGTCATGGTCGCTGCCTTCGCTGCTACCCTCGCTGGTCTGACCCGGGTCGGGGCTGCAGAGTGTGCGGCGGCGGCCCAAGCTGAGCCGGGATGGAGGCTGTGGGAGTGGGTGGGGAGGACCTCCAGTAGGGAACGCGGGGTCCCTCAAAGCAGCCTTGGAGTTGCCATTTTGACCCAAATCACAGGCACCTACCAGAGAGAGCCCATGAAATGCCAGCTGGCGCGGGCCCCATAGAGCTCCCAGATGGCATCTCCCTCTGACCCTCCACCCTGCTCTGGAGTGGGCTGTTACCGTTAGAGGGGGCGTTGGTGTGCAAAGGAGCTGCAGTGGGATGGGTCTGCGGGGCAGAAAGGGCACTTGGGGGCTCGAGGACCTCTGCAGGAACATAAGACACAGACTCGTCTGAAAGGCAGCCATGGAGCCGAAGGCTGCACCCAGAGGCCACCAGGGGACGGCCCCTACCTGAGCTCTGCACCTGCAGGGCCTCGGGTAGGGCCTCCCTGCTGCTGGCATCCACAGCTACAGGGCAGGTGAAGCAGGAGGGGGCAGAGCTGACCTTGCTAGTCTGAAGGGCTCGGAGCCAAGACCTCCGGGCGTGGCCTGTGAAAGCAAGGAAGTGTCTGCTGGAGGTACCACTAGCCACCTCTGCCCAGTGCTCAGGCCCAGATCAGCTCAGCCCGCCCCGACACACACACACACACACACACACTGGCAAGAAGTGTCAGCAGGACTGGGATTCCCCCTGGAAACCCAGACAGCATTCAACAGAATGGACAGCACCCAGAGGAAATGTTGGTTGGCTGGTAGTGCCTTTTCCTTCACTCCTCCAGCACCATACAATAGAACATTCTACAAGAGTGGAAAGGTACCAGGTTTACATGATGCAGGACTACAGCGGCCAGTCATATATGACTGGTCATTGAGCACTTCAGGTGTGGCTGGAGCTGCTGCGGGCAACTAAAGTTTTAACTTAGAGTTTAATCATCATTTCCCAAGTGACAAAAATCTGTTTTGATGTTGTGGGTGCTGTGTCGGCTGCCAGGAAGCTTGTCAACTTTGCATTCTCCTGCTTGCCAGGAGACATAACCTCATAGCATGCCATCTAACTACATTCTCAGCTGCCTTTTATTTCCACTTTCTTTTACACCCTTCTGCTCTGCTGAAGTTTCTCTCCTGCTAAAATGGTGTGCCAGCTTGGGTCTTCTGTGAATGAAGTGGGGTGTAGATGGCAACAAGGACCCAGTGTGTAGTATCCCACGTAGGAGCATTGTGCTTCTGACTGGCATGCCTGCTAATGAGCCCACTGATGGGAGGACAGTGGAAGATGGCCCATGCACCTGGGGCCCTGTCACCCAGTTGAGAAACCCAGCTGGAGTTCCTGGATCCTGGCTTCAGCCTCAGTCAGACCCGGCTATTGCAGGCAGGTGCAGAGTAACCAGCGAATAGATCTCCTGTCTCCCTGTCTTTCAAATCAATGTATATTCCTATCTATTGATTATCTACATCAATCATTGTCTATCTTAAAGTAGCAACAGAAGCACAGGCTTCTATCTTCCATTTTGAGTCCCAGGTCCCTGAGGCCCTGACCTCACCACCCTGCTGCTAACTCACCCCGGTCCGCTGTGGTCTCTGTCCCTCCTCGGAGAGCCAGCTGCTCATTGTCTCGCACCACAGAGGCTGCAGTCAGTCTGTGGAGTGCTTGGTCCCAGGTGGCTTCTTTCACAGAGGGTGATGGAGGCTGTGCTCCCCACAGTGGCTCTAGCCCAACACCCACTTCCCAGCACATGGGCTGCTCCCCACACAGGCCCCGGATCACCACATGGCAGTGCGGCACCTGGGGAGGCGATGGCACTGCTGGTGGAGCCGACTCCCCACCAGGGGGCACAGATGTGAACAGGAAGGGCGGTTCCATCAACATATCCCAGTCCATGGGGACCGGGGAGAGCAGGTTTCCTACTGGGGAGAGAAGGGTGGTGGGCATCAACACCTTGGGCTCCACCTCCTTCGTGTCAGGACCCCAGCTCCCCACTCGGACTCTCACCTGAGTCATCCAGGCCCTGTCCCAACTGTTGGCTTGATTCCAGGCCTGGCCCGTCCAGCACTGTACCCAGAGAGGGCTGCCGTGGCCGGCCAGCAGCTGGGTTTGCTCGGTCTGGAGGGGATGAGAGGCTTCGGCCTGCCAGTGCTGCTCTACGCCGACGACCTAACACCTCTGTACTCAAGGCCACTGCCTGCATGTGAGACATGGGGGCCACTGATGAAGGAAAGCAGAGCTCCCTGGCTCTCCTACACACTGCTGGCCACACGGCCCTGGTGGGACACCTCAGGGTGGCTGCTTGCTACCCTCAGGAGGCAGATCATGCTCCAGCCCTCTTCCCAGTGTCATCTGCCTCCACTCCCTATTTCCCACTTAAAGCTGTCACTCGTCTCTGTACTGTTTACCTTCTCCCCCTTACCCGGCTGACAGCTCCCACTCCTGTAACTGCTCGCAGTTTCCCGAACTCTCTTAGAGCTGATCACCCTGACTCTGCACCTCGTGACACCATGTTCCCCTGCTCATCATTGTGTGATGGGCAAACATTCACCAGACTCTCTAGCAAGACCTCACAGTAAACAGTGTGGCACAGCCAGCACCCAGGAGGTGTGCTAAGCAAACATTCACTGAATACATAGTGAGTGAAGGTGGGCTGACGTCTCACCTTGAGTGCAGTCTGTGGGGGTGCCGCCGGTAAGGGGCAGGAGCGGGAGCCTGCAGGTTCTCCCCAGGCCAGGCTACGGCAGCCCTGCTGAGAAGGGGGTCCCAGGGGAGTGCTGACCTCAGGGGAGCCAGGGCCCTGGGATCCTGGGGACTCACTGCTGCCTGTGGAGCCTGGGCCGGGCTCAGGGCTGGCTGAGCAGTGGGTGAGCACATACTGCTCCCTGATGTAGGAGGACTGAAAGATGCGGCGCCATATGGCTGGATCAGAAGAGGGGTTGGGGCCAGGGTCTGTGATGGGCTCTGTCAGGGCATCTGAACCTGCTGGGAGAAGAGCAACAGTCCTAATCCTGACCCCTTCAACTGCCTAGCCTCTGCCACCACCATTACATACACACACCAGGCACTCACTCCGCTCGGAGTCCCCAGCAGTCCACAGACCAGACAGCTCTGCTGACACAAGGCCTGTCCCGGGTGGTTCAGAGGTGCCTGTGGGCTCAGTGCCAGGGCTTGTGGCAGATGGTGCCTCCTCTGGGGACGGGAACACCGAGCCGCCCAAGCTCTGCCATCCTGGCTCTTGGCCCTAGAAGAAAATCAATGGGGAGGAAAAAAAATGGATTGTCACACATTACCTTTTTCCAAACAGGATGTGAAGGTGGCACAAGCAAGAGGCAAGAAAGCTGCCTATAGCAGAAAGGGATGCCCCTCATGAAGGCAGGTGGCAGGGCTGTGCTAACCTTGAGGATTAGCAGCAGCTCTGGGGCTGCCTGAGCTGCTTGGGGGCCAGGCAGAGGTGGCCTGTTTCATAGTTCTTAGGATCAGAGAGGAAAAGCATGCTGTGTCTTAGGGAGCAAGATTTTCTTAAAGCCCACCTCTCAGATTCACATTGTGCAGCAAGAACCCTACCAGGATAACGCCTCCCTCACTCCCCAACACACACAAAAAAGCATCATTTCCCAGTAAGGAAATGGGCTGAGAGGGGTCTGGTGACTTGCCCTCAGCAGGTGCCTAATGGGTGACAGAGGTGGGATCTGAGCCCATATCCACATTAGACTCCTCTCCCACCACAGAGCTCCGGGGGAAGGAGCTCACAGCAATCCTGGAGCTGTTCCCTGTAGCCAGGTGCTTTAGGGACCTCGGTAAAGGGGTCACACTTCACAAAGCCACTCAGTACATGCCCTTATGGGACAGGAAGAGCAGTGGACTGAGATGCTCAGTGGGACCCCTATGGAGTCCTGGGGGACACAGCCGGAGAGCCTGGCAGAGAGAGAAGGGGGAACAGGAAAGGGAAAGGCCCCATATGCACATACAGTAGTACCGAGTCCAGGCCTACCCCTGATGGGCGGGGCCGGAAGCTGTCCACCCTGAAAAGTGAGCAATAACCAAGCAGCCGGTCCCCAGGGTAAAGGGCTGGGATCTCTCGGGGAGTCAGCAGTGCCTCCACAGCGTCGGGCACAAACCAGTCCACAGAGATGTCACTCAGAGCGGGCTCCAGGGCCTTCCGCAGGGCCTGCACCAGCTGTGGGGAATGGCCAAAGAGAGGGCAGGGCAGGTGTCACACACGGGGTAACACAGCAGGAAGGCCATGCTAAGCTTGACCCCACACATTGTGTCCCCAGGTCCATGGTGGGGCAGTGTGTGTGTGTGTGTGGGATGGGAATGAGGACCAGGGTTGGGCTGATGTCAGGAGAAGGAACAAGCGGATAAGCAAGGGGATTGAGCATGCTCAGAACTTGGGCAGTTTCTTGGCCAGAGACTGCCCACATGGTGGGACAAGGTTGCCAGGGTGAGACTCAACTTCAGGACAGAAAGGGAGAGAAGATCTGGGGGTGGCCAGAGGATTTGTGCCCAAACCTCAGACAGTACCAACTGCTCCCCACTGATTGGCATCTCAGGGAGGGGAGGGAGGAGGGTCCAGAGCTCCCTAACTAGAAATCGGCCATGATATGTACTTCTGGGGGCAGGTAACAGGGTCGAGGCCCAAGCTCACCATGGGCTGCAGCCTCTCCCCTGGCCTCAGGAAGTAGGCCTGGCCCCTGCTGAGGGCCGACAGATCCCGGAGCAGCTGGTGGCAAGCAGGCCCCAGCCCAAAGGAGAAGCACCTGCCAGGGCAAGCAAAGCAGGTGTGAACCCCCTGGAGTGAGACTGGGGGGAGTCAGTCTTCAGCTCCTGGCCCTGCTCACCTGGCTGCCCCTCTGTGCCATCTCATGAGCTCTAGAGCTTGGTGGGTAGTGGTAAGCGCAGGTGAGGCTGCAGTGAGCAGGAACAGCTGCCGAGGGTGGGCCTTGTGCTGGGGTTGCACCATGGCCCAGTCCAGAACAGCCAGAATGTCTGGGGGACCACTCACAGCTTGCAGGGTCTCAAGGCTGTCACATATCAGCTGCACAGTGTCCTGGGCAAAAAAGAACATGCTGGGCCATGCTGCACTGGGACATCACCCACGAAGCTCCGCAGGATCCCTGGGCCGCACTCACGTCATTGCAAGGCCTGCTGTCTGGGAAGAGTGGTCGCACTGATGTCCCAAACACTGCCAGGTTGACGAGCGTCTGGGGTGGGAGAGATTTCACAGCCAAAATGATGGCATCCTGGGGAGAGCCGGGCAGGGTGATTGGTGAGACAGGTTGGCTGAGGTCATGGGGAGGACGGCGGGGACTGCACAGTGTGCTTCCAGGAACAGGGGTGGGGGAGAGCGGGGTAGAATAGAGGGAGGAGACTGTGTGTGTGTGTGAGCCAATTCCATGGACTCAGCAGGTACAGGAGACATGTGATGTGTGTATGACTGGAGTGACTGAGGGTCCTTCTATAGGAGGGGCCCTTGGGAGTGAGAGATGTATGTGTGTGTGTGTGTGTGTGTGTGTGTGTGTGCGCGCGCACAAGCATGAGAAAGCAGGGAAACCACAACAGTGTATGTATGTTGTGTGCGTGGCAAGGGCTGGACTATTCCCTAAGGAACCTCCCTGGGGAGTTACTGCAGGTGGGGATGTCCACTTGGGGAAACTCCTGGTTTTGACAAGGCGGCCTCCAGCCCCACTCAGACGCCCTGCTTCTGTTGCCCCAGGCCTGCCTCCCATTGCCCCAGACCTGCCTTTTGCCTCTTGCCCCTGCCGCCCCAGGCCTGCCCCACCCCCTGCCCTCACGAGCCTTGTGCACAGTGCTGCTGCTGTCCAGCAGGAACAGGAGCTCTCGGGTGGCGGTGCCCAGGTGTCCAGGTTTGGTGCTCAGGTCAGGGCAGAAGCTCAACACCAGCACGGGGTTAAGCAGGATGTCCTTGTGGAAGCGTCGCTGCAAGAAGCACACCTGAACATGGGAGCGCTGTGTCAACCTGGGCCAGGGTCAGGGAAGTTCCGTCCAGGGGAGCAGTGGGACCCTTTGCTGGGGCCTTTCTCTGAAGGTCATTTGCAAGGCAGGGTGGGGAGAGTCCAGAGAAACCCAGGCTGGCTCTCCTGTGCAGCACTCCTCAGCCCTCTGCCAAGCTGGGTGGCAGCTATAGGTCCCTGCCTATGTACACAAATGCAACCAGCAACAACGTCAGGGACTGGGCCCTGACTCTGCAGCCATACCTGCCAGTCCCCATCACTGTCCCTTCTTCGCTGCAGCCTCTGAAAATCACGGCGGGCTTTCACCCACGCCTCGTACTCCACTGCACTCAGGCTGCCTGCCTCGAGTATCAGGTGTGGCTGATGGGGCTCTGATGGAGAGGGACACAGCTAGTGTTAGGGAGGCCCCTGTCCCCAACCCCGGTCCTGGGAGGAGCCTGCACTGGCAGCCTCCTGTGTGCCCTCCCACCTCTGCTTGCCCGAGATGGCTGATTGGGGTTGTCCCACAGCCCATGGCCCAGGGCCAGTCTCTTACCACTTGGGTGCAGCAGGATCTCCAAGAGCCGGTCACAGCGGTGGCCCTCAGCCAGGGTGACACAGATGGTGGCTGCTGAACTTGCATGGGGAGGTGCATCTGCCCGCAGGGCATGGGAGGGGCTCTCCAGGCCTGGGGATGCATAGAGGTAGGGAGAGGTGATAGCTGCCCTACCCCAGGCCAAGACAGAACACATACTCAACCTATCCAGGTTAGTCCATGGCTGTAGATGGGATCATGGCTGAGTCTGCTCAGCTCTTAGTGTCTGATCCATGGGGTCGGAGAGAGGGCTGATTTGCCTGTTTTCATAGAAGTGGGCAATCAGATCTGTTTCTGGCTGCTTAAAGTGGCAGCCACCAGCCAATCACAGATACAGCACCCTGTCCCCATCTATTTACCAAGGGACGTACATGTAGTAGCTTAGATGTACCCCATTGTCAAGAACTCTCCCCATCAGTGTAAAGGGTGGAAAGTAAATGAGTGACATAATTGATGAGGCAGAGTGAGTGTCCAAGTGCCCCAGGGGATGCTCCCACTGCAGCATGGCTCCGGTGCCCATCCTCTTTCCTGTCCCAGGTTTCTCCCACCCCTAAGCCCTGAATGAGTGTCCCATCAGCTGTCCTGGGAGGAAAGGGGTGGACCCGGGAAGGGAGGCCAGGCCAGAGGCACCCACCTGCCAGCAGGCATGGCCCTGTCACCAGCATCTCGAAGGAGAAGGTGTAGGGAGCAGGACAGCGGGCAGGGCCTGAGAACACATCCCGCGGGGCAACTGGCTCCTCCCAGGCCAGCCCTTCTTCCTGGGGGCTGCCCACCCCAAAGCAGCTGGTGGGGCTGCAAGGGAACGCAAGGAGCGTCACAGGACCACCAGCAAGGCCCCAAGCCTCTGGCTGACCCTGGCCCCAGCCCCTCCTCACCCCACCCATCCCCACAGGGCACGCTGCCAAAGCCCCCTCACCCGCACTAGACCCAGAGAAGTCGAGGGAGGGACGAAGAGAATCACCATAGGCCCAACCTGTCGTCACAGAGCCCCGGAGGCCTGAGGGGCCCCGGTGGGCCTGGTGGGGCCAGCGGGGTGAGCACAGTGGGCAGGACCACATGCAGCACCCCGTCAGGCCTTGAGGGCAGCTCCCAGCTGCTGCACAGGGTCACTGTCATGGTGCCAGCCGCAGCAATAAGGCCCGTAGGCAGCACCAGCGCAGACCGAGCCTGGGCCAGATCCAAGACGAGATGACCTACGGTAGGTGAGAAATGGGGGCTCAGAGGAAACCAGAAGCAGAAGAGATGAGGGGAGCTTGAGGTACGTGAAGGGGCTGACTCGGGGTGCCCCGGCCAGGGGACCTGAGCAGTTGGCAGGCACTAAGCCGATGGGGGCATGAGATGGAACCATGGCAGGAGAGGCAGGGGTGTTGAAAGGACCTGGCCAACCCTGTTAACAGAGGGCTGAAAGATGGGGAGCAGCTCCACTCCCAAGGACTTTGGGGGGCCCACACACTCTGTGTCTCTCTGCCTATCTGCCTTTCTCAGTCAACCCTGGACACCATCTTTCTAAAAACTCTGGTGGCTGTCACTGAGGCACAGCAAGTAAAGTTGCTATCTACAATGCCGCATCCTAGTTAGGCACTGGTTCGGGTCCTGGCTGCTCCACTTCCAACCCAACTCTCTACTGATGTGCCTGGAAAAGCAGCAAAGGATGGCCCAAGCGCCTTGGGTGCTGCACCTAAGTGGGAGACCCAGAAGAAGCTCCCGGCTTCAGAGTGGCCTAGCTCTTGTCATTGCAACCCTTTGGAGGCAAACCAATGGATGAAAGATCACTCTTGGTTTCTCTTTCTCTTTCTGTAAGTCTGCCTTTCAAATGGCCAAATAAATCTAATAAAAATAAAATAACTGCCTTGTGGCTGGGGTGCTTGGGAACCAAGAAGAGTGCCCCAGGAGGAGTTTGTGGCAGTTGTCAGGACTGAGGCGGGAGGTAGGCCAGAAGACACAGTGCCGCATGTACCTTCCAGGCAACGGTTGCGTTTAGACATAGGATTCCTGGGTTGGGGTGGGATGAGATGGCTGGTGGAGCCGTGACAGTCACTGCTGCCACTAGGGAAGAACATACATGTGTGGTCCCACACACGTGGGCTGCCTGCCTTCAGAGCAATCATGTCACCTCCCTGCCTTACTGCAGTCACCTTGAGAAATACCTGCTGTGTAAATGAGGGGAAGACAAAGATGGACAGGAAGGAAAGGAAGGAGAAAGGGGCTTTTCTCTCAGCCTGCCGAGGTGCAGGATCCATGGCAAGGACACAAGGTCAGGTTTTCCATCAGCTCTGTGACTCCTAATGATATCCTTTGGTAATTCTTGCTTCATTATCCACAGACTGGGAATCCTAAGAACTATACCATGGGGTCTGGCATCCTGACGTAGCAGGCAGAAGTGCCACCTGTGATGGGGGCATCCTATAGAGCTGCCAGTTCAAGTCCTGGCTGCTTCATTTCCTGCCCAGCTCTCTGTGCCTGGGAAAAACAGAGAAGATGGGCCCCTGCCACCTATGTAGGAGACCCTGTTGAAGCTGGGGTTTGGCCTGACCCAGTCCAGTGCCTTAGGCAGCCATCTGGGGAGTGAACCAGTGGACAGAAGATCTTTCTCTCTGTAACTGACTTTCAAATGAATAAATAAATGTAAAAAAAAAAAAAACTACAGGTCAAACACTGTGACAAAAAATAAATGAAACATTATATACAAAGCTTCCAATTTTGTAAATGTGTTGCTATTATTTTCAACCCCTATGAAAGAGGGAATATGGGGCTAGTACTGTGATTCAAGAGGCCAATCCTGTGCCTGCAAGTGCTAGGATCCCATATGGGTGCTGATTCATACCCCAGCTACTCCACTTCCCATCCAGCTCCCTGCTTGTGGCAAAGCAGTGGAGGACAGCCCAAAGCCTTGGGACCCTGCACCCTTGTGGGTGACCCAGAGAAATTTCCACTCTTAGCTTCAGATTGGCTCATCTCCAGCTATTGCAGCCATTTGAGAAGTAAAATAGCAGATGATCTTTCTCTCTGTCTGCGATCTCTGTAAATTTGCCTAATATAAATAAATCCTAAAAAAAAAAAAAAGAGGGCAAGAGAAACTCTTGCTTTATTACCTACCTCTCTGGATTCAAATTGAGAGGATGCCAGCGACAACACAAATTAAACTATAAATCACTACAAACACAAGATATTGGGTTACTCAGTAGAAGCTGCCTACAATCCTGGTATATACATACCACTGCCTCTAGCCATTTCACCAAGTCCTACCCTTCCTTCCACAGGCTGCCTAAATGTCCTTCTGGAATATTCCTGGCACTTGGCCCAGAACTCACAATGGCTTTGAACCACCTGCGGGCTTTATCCCAGCTCTCAGCACCGCTGCTTGTGTCCTTCTCACTCAGATGGTAAACCCCTGGGCAGGAATCCAAGCACTATGTGGATGAATAAATGACAGGACACAGGGAGAGCCACAGAACCTGGCCAAGCTGGGTCCCCTGGGAGACGCTGGGCTTTGGAGGTGAACAGAACCCTGTCCCAAGCCCAGGAGCTAGTGCTCAACTGGGGACCCGACAGGCAGACCCGACAGATCAGGATGTGAGGAGGTGGCGCCAAAAGCCTCTGAGTGCAATTACCCACTGAGGGGCCTAAGGAGGGGAGGTGTGGCAGGGTTTCCCAGGGAGTGACAGCTGGATGGTTCTTAAAGGACCAGTAGTACACATTTTGCTCTTCAGAAATGGGAAATCAGGGAAGGGAGGTGCAGAAGGACCTGGCAGGGTGGCCAGTGTGGTGCCAGGGGTGGGAAAGGGGCTGAAGGGATGGGATCAGGTGAGCAAGGGGTTTGTTAAACAGAAGAGTCTGCACTTGACCCGGGAGCTGGGCGTCACAAAGGGCCTAGCAGAGGACGTCTGAGGGGTTAGCCATAGAGGTAGCTCCCTCGGCAACCCCCTGGAGGGTTACGATCACCTGGGCAGAACAGGCAAGTGTCCCAGCAAACCCGTGCTATCTGCCTGCGACCTAGCGCCAAACCTAGGTCACGTGTCCCCAGCACCTGGGGGCGGGCCAGGTATGCAGTCCACGACTGTTGAATGAAGAGATGAATCAATGGGTGGCAAGCTCAGTGCGGGGAGAGCGGGTGCAGGGATCTGAGCGGCGGCTGGCCTGCAGGAGGAACGCGGAGTGGCCGCGCTGGACTCACCCTGCGCGCAGCGGCGGGGCGTGGAGGCGCCCAGCGCCGGGCCCAGCGCGCGACAGCAGGCGGGCTGGGAGCGGCGCCGGCTCTGCAGCTGGAAGGAGACGCGCCGTCCCGCCGCCTCGGCCTCGAAGCCCGACACCACCTCGGCCTCAGCCAGCGGGTACACGAACACGCCTGCGGGGCCGGAGACGGCGTCGGAGCGCGCCCGGCACACCCCAGCGGCTCCCAGCACCCCGGGTCCCCCTGCCCCGGGGCCTCACCCTCCACCGGCTGCGGCTGAGGGTTGTGGTAGGTGAGCCGAGCCCGCAGGCTGAGGCAGGGGCCGTTGGTGCAGGCCCGGACGCTGGAGTCGGTGAGGGGCAGCGGCGTCCAGCTGGAGGGGCAGTAGAGGCCAGGCATGGTGCCGGGAGGTGGGCGCTGCAGGAGCTGGGGAGGACCGGTCTAACTCCGCCGCGAGGCGGCTCGCCTGCGGGAGGCGCAAGACTGAGACCGGGGGCTTCCGCCCGGCCGACAGGTGGCAAGGGCGATGATAAGCCGAGGGGAGCGGAGGGCACGGCGAGTTGGGGCATCCTCGCCCGTTACCTGGGAAACCGGGGCAGACGCGGCTGTCCGCGGCGTGGGGACCCGGGGAGCCGAGGGTTAATCATTAACTGGAGTCCCCCCCACCCCCCGGCGCCCGGCAGTCCCGCCGCCCGCCCGCTCCTCTGGGGCTCGGGGGGCGGCCACAGCTGTTCCGTCAGCCGCTGCCGGGCCTCCCCGCCACCCCTGTACCTGCCGGCCCCCCGGGGCCCCGGCGGCTGCCAGCTGTCGGAAGCGCTGCGGGGGTGGGGTGGGTGAGGAGCGCTGGGAGATGCTCGGCGTGCGGAGCGAAGGTTTAAAGGGACCGGATCCACCCTGGCTACCTTAGCCCGGGGGCGCAGCGCGGGCGGGGTGGGCCGAGGCGTTCAGAGGGGCTGCATGCCCGAGTGGTGGGGGTAACAGAGACTGGGACGCGTGAGAGGAGGTGTAGGGACAGAGAGCGCCCGAGCGATGGGTGTAGGGCACCTCTCCCCCACCCTGGCAGAACCCACCGGGAAGTCTCCCCGCTTCGGGTTGCTGCGGGCTGGGTCGTGGGTTCTCTCTCCACCCACCCATCCCTGCGGGCGACTCCAACCTCACCGTCACGTCCTCCGCGGAGTTTGGGGCGCCGCTAAGGGTCCAGGGTGGGTGATGCGGGCCCTGCACCCCGAGCTGCACTTGGGTCCCCGCACCTGCTGGGGCGCCGGCTCCAGCCTCTTGCAGCTGCTGCTCCGAGTCGGGGCGGTGGTCCCGCCCCCCGCGCCGGGAGTCCGCCCTGCCAGTCCGCCTCGGCCCCGCCTGCCGCTGCGGCGGGTGGACGCTCCCCCTCCAACGGGCGCGGTTCCGCCTCCGCGCCAGCCCGGGCCGCGGGAGCCAGAATGGACTCCGCAGTGCAGGGACCCGCGCGTCCCCCGCCACCGCCACACACTTAGTGCGGGACCGAGGCCTTTGTGGCCCCCACCTTTTCCAGCTTTCGGGAGAAGAGGGGCCCGAGCAGCTCATCCTGCGCGCCCCGGGCCCTGCAGCGCCTGCCTCAGCTGTCCGCTGTCACCGCGCGCAGCCCACCCACCCCCGCCCTGGGAAGGCTTCTGTCCCTGCAGCGCACTGCACCCAGCCCCTGCGCCGCGGCACCGCGGAACACTTTCCCGCAAGCATCCAACCAAGTGCTCTTATTTCTGCGACAAACTCCCGCATCCCGATGGCTCCTTTAGCTCCTGCGCACGCAGTTAAGCCCCGAGGCGGGACTCCCCCGGCACTGCAGAGATTGGTTCCCGCTCCAAAGCAGCCAGCCTTCCTCCCTACTTTTGCCGTATGCGGGGCGCCTTTTTCCGGTTGTAACTCGGGGTGCAGGCACTGCAGCCTGCAGCCCTTTCTGGGCCAGTGACTGCAGCACCTCATGAGACGTCGCTGCTTAGGGTCCCTGAGCTGAGCTTGCCAGGAAGTCTACAAACCTCTCAGGACCCCTGCGGGGAAAGTCTGGGAGCCCCCGGGGGGAGTGAGGTCTGGCCGTCCCCTGTGCATATTTTCTGGCCCACTTAGGTTCTGCAAAGAGAGGGACTTTTTGTTTGTTTATGATGGAGGGAGAAGCTCAGCCTTCCTGGTGAACTTCATCCTCCTGATCGAAGTCACCTTCGTCACATTGGCCCTGGGGACCTCTCTCTCTCTCTCAGCACCTGAGCCCTCCCCAGCACAAAGCACTTAGAGGACTGGCAACAGCTGTGCCTTTTCCCAGAGGCCTCCGCGAGTGGAGAGGCCAGGGGACCATCCAGGGAGCACTCAGTGCAGGGGCCAGGGGACCATCCAGGGAGCACTCAGTGAAGAGGCCAGGGAGCACTCAGGCGGCCACACAGAGGAAGCCCCCGGGGGCAGCTGCAATCAGGACTCTAAGCTCTTAGCCCATTGACTCCTCTCTTTCTTCCCAGTCAGCTTCACTCTCAGCCTTATTCCAAAAGAAGCTCCCTCTTGTAAGAGGGCCTGGGGAGTGACAGTGGAGAGCTGATGGTCCCTTCAAGGGGTTCAGGTACCTTGCCTGACCCTGTTGTCCAGACCGTTGACCCTTTGTGCTTTGCCTTTTCTGCGAATGAACCATGAAAGGTCAGTGTGTGGCACAGCAGGGTAAGCTGTGGCATGTAATGCCCACATCCCATGAGTGCAGGTTCGAGTGCCGGTTACTCCACTTCCAATCCAGCTCCCTGCTAATTCTGGGAAGGCAGCAGAAGATGGTCCAAGGGCTTGGACCCCTGGATCCACCTGGAAGACCTGGAAGAAGCTCCTGGCTCCAGACTGGCCCAACTCTAGCTATTGCAGTTACATGGGGAGTGTACAGGTGGGTGGAACATGTCTATCTCTTCCCTCTCTTTCTCTTCTATTCATATAAATAAAATAAATCTTTTAAAAACAGTGAGCTCTGTGCCCTCAGGCATTGATGAGGTGACAGAATGGTCACAGGGAGCCTGGAGAACATGGCAATGGAAAGAGAGGTCCTGTCTTTGTTGGTTGTGGGGAGGGCTTGGAAGTCACACAGCTCCCCTGAAAGATGGGATCCCTGTCAGAGACTAGATGAACAGGTTGGCACAAGGCAAGCGTGGCTGGGAAGCAGCACACGGCCCCCGGGTGCTGTTGGGAAGGCTGCCTGGGGTAAGGCTGCTCTATTGTCCTGCAGGTGGGCAGTCAGGGCAGGCTGCCCAGAATCTGGGTTCAGAGCAGCAAGGGTGGGGAGGTAATGCAGGATGGCAGCGGAGAAGGGAGGGGACAGCATAACCTCTTAGGGCTGTGTTCCAGGTAGAATTGAGCAGGTCCGAAGGACAGTGTGGGTGCTGGGTGCCAGGAATCCTCAGGGTAGAGGACACACAGCTGCAAAGGCTCAGCCCCTAGGGGCTCGCGCTGCAGGGAACAGGGCACTGGGTGCCTGCATTTAGATAAGTGCTGCACCACAAAGAAGCCGTAGGAGGGGTCAAAGTGGTTAATGGGTGCTCTTGGGAGGAGCGCCCCAGCTGCTGAGGGCAGGCATTGAGGCGGAGCCCTAAGTGGAAGGTATGTCAGCTGAGGGGATCTGCTTGCCAAAAGGTGAGAGAGGCAGTGAGGGGTGGGAAGGTGGTATTAGGGCAAGTGAGGGTACATTTGCTCTGAGTTAGCATTCGTGGAGCTCTTACTATGGGCCAGACACCTGCAGCACAAGCATGGATCATCAATCAATCGACAAGAGAGGGGTATCATTGTTTTACTTACTGGTGAAAAACATTCATTACAAGACAGTGATGTTGAACTTGGCTGCTCCGGCCCCAGAATTCTTTTTTTATTTATTATTTTATTTATTTATTCTATTATATATTCATCTATTTTGTTTATTTTTATTTATTATTTTATTTAATTAAAATTAATTTGGGGAAACAAATTTTAAGATTTATTTATTTTTATTTCCAAGTCAGATATACAGAGAGGAGGAGAGACAGAGAGGAAGATGTGTCCGCTAATTAACTCCCCAAGTGACTGCAATGACCAGAGCTAAACCGAGCTGAAACCAGAAGCCAGAAGCTCCTTCCAGTTCTCCCACCTGGGTGCAGGATCACAACGTTTTGGGGCTGTTCTCGATTGCTTTCCCAGGCCACAGGCAGCGAGCTGGATGAGAGATGTGGCTGCCGGGATATGAACTGGTGCCCATATGGGATGCCGGCATGTGCAAGGCAAGGACTTTTAGCTGCTAGGCTATCGTGCTGGGTCTAGAAAAAAATTTTTTTTAGAGATTTATTTGTTTTTATTGGAAAAGCAGATCAGATTTACAAAGAGAAGGAGAGACAAAGAGAAAAATCTTCCACTCACTGGTTCATTCCCCAAATGGCCACAACGCCCAGAGCTGGCCAAGTCTGAAGCCAGGAACCAGAAGCTTCTTCAGGGTCTCCCAGGTGGATACAGGATCCCAAGGTTTTGGGCTATCCTCTGCTGGGACACAACTTGATGCTATAGGCAAAGGACTAACCTACTTGTGCCACTGCACCAGCCTCCAGAACTCTTGTTTTAAAATATAGACAATATGTCATTCTTTAAGTATTTAACTGAAAAATAAAAATCACATATATGTATTGTGTGTTATGTTGTTTTGAATTATGTCTATTTTGCAGAATGACTAGATCATATGGCTTATTTTCTTTAAAAAAAAAATTATTTGAAAGGCAGAATTAGAGAAGAGAGACAGAGATCTTCCATCTGTTTGTTTATTCCCCAGATGGCTACAACGGCCAGGGCTGGGCCAGGCTGAGGTCGGGAACCTGAAACTCCCTCTGGGTCTTGCCTGTGGGTGGCAAGGATACAAACACTTGTGCCTCCCTCCCTTGCTTTTCCTAGACCGTTAGCAGGGAGTTGAGATGGTAGTGGAGCAGCTGAGACATGAGCCATTGTCTGTGTGATGCCAGTGTTGTGGGCAGTGGCTTTGCCTGTTATGCCACGCTTTTTGTTTGTTTGTAAAAGATTTGCTTGAAAGGCATAATGATGAACAAAGACAGAGAAATATTCCACCTGCTGGTTGACTCCCCCAATGCTGGGAACAGCCAAGCCAGGCTAGACAGAAAACAGAAGGAACCCAATCCAGGTTCTTCCACATGGTTGATAGGGACACAAGTACTTGGGCTATCATCTGTTGTCTTCCCAGGTACATTCCAGGAGAACTAAATCAGGAGTAGCTGGGACTGGAATCACTCCACTATAGAAGGCAGGTGTCCCAAGTACAAACATGTCCCCCCAGCCCCAACAAATATGATTACATGGTTTTATGGTTTTCTTTTCTTTTTCTTTTTTTTTTTTTCCTCTCTCTCCCTCTCTTTCTTTTTTTTTCTTTCTTTTTAAAA